CAGCAGTGACCAGCTGCCAATAGTCCCTCACCAAAGTTGTGGCTTCCTGCGCATCTCCCCAGTTTTATACTTGTTTTTGTCTGACTGGGTTTACATGGGTCTTGTGCATGCTGTCACCTTTACTGTCAGTTCATATGAGCAAAGTCCCAGGAGCCTGTAAGACTTTGCTTCCTTTGGGTTCTGTACCTCCCCACTGGCTCTTACGATCTTTCCACACCCTCTTCCACAATAGTAAATAATAGCACCATCTTTTTTTGTTGTTTTTTGGTCTTTTTGAGACAGGGTCTCCCTGTAGCCCCAGCTGTCCTGGAACTCACTATGTATGTGGGGTTTCTCCCTCCCCTCGTGGGTCGTTGGCCACCCGTCCACGAGGACAAAGGGAACAGAAGCGACAAACAGGGTCAGGACAGCCAGTGAGCACTAGGGAAGAAAGCCCTTCCGGGGAGGCAGATTCAGTGATACAGCTCTGTTTATTCAGGGGGTCAGGGAAAATATAATGTGGAGGCAGCAGCCAAAGCTTCAGCTGATAGGTGCTCATAGTATGCTTTATTTACATGTGGTAGGGGGATCCTCTCTTATGACTGTAGGGCAATGCCTAATTATCATATAGAAAAAACCTGGGGGTAGTTTTATTGCAGGTAACTATACCAAAGGTCATGTTCTGAATAAGGTCAGGCATCCGTGCTTGGAGGCACTTTCCAGGTAAGTCAGGCAGGAAGCCCCTGCTAAGAAAGGAGCCAACCTTAACAGCAGGGTTCCCCAACATATGTAGACCAGGCTGGCCTTGAACTCACAAAGATCTGCCTGCCTCTGCCTCCCAAGTGCTAGGAATAAAGGTGTGTGCCACCATGCCCAGCCATCTTTATTTTTTTCATATTCTCTCCATAGTTTTCTAGCTTTATCAACAAAGATAGATTTGTAAAACTCATCTTTTTACACTTGGTATTTTTCATTTATTCATGAATACTTATTTTCATACAATGTATACGAATGTCTTATGTAAAAAGTAGTGTTTCTATTGTTATTTTTAAATAAAATTTTTGGGGGGGGTACTTTTTGAGACAGGGTCTTCCTCTGGCCCCACCTGTCCTGGAACTCACTATGTAGACCAGGCTGGCCTTGAACTCACAGAGATCCACCTGCCTCTGCCTACCAAGTGCTGGGATTAAAGGCGTGTGCCACCACACCTGGCTTTTAAATAAATTTTTACATTTACATTTTTTTCTTTATTGTACGTGTGCGTACGTGTGAGTGTGTGGGAACATGAGGTACCACTGCATGCATGCAGAGAACAATTTGCAGGAGTCAGTTTTCTTCTCCCACCATTTGAGCCCAAGAGTTCAAATTCAGGTCATCAGGCTTGGTGGTAATTGCCTTTACCCACTGAGTGATCTCACTAGCTCTCTATCATTAATCTTATTAATAGATTTTCATTTATTCTTTGAGAATGTCATACATGTATACAATGTATTTTGACCATATATATATATATCCTCTTTCCCCACTCCAACTCTTCCCTGACTCCTTCCCCTTCCACAATGTCCCCCTCCAGATTTCATGTCTTCTCTTTTTAAAAACTTTTAAAATTTTATTTATTATTTTTATTTTATGTATTTGCGTGGTTTGCCTGCATGCTGTGTGTGTGTGTGTGTGTGTGTGTGTGTGTGTGTACATCACATGCATCATATAAAGGTCAAAGGACCACTTGTGGGAGTGGATTCTATTCTTTCACTGTGTGGGTCCTAGAGATTGATCTCAAGTCATCAGGTTTACCTGCTTCCTTTTCTTTCTTTACTTTTTTCCAATATTTTATTTATTATTTTTATTTTATGTGTATGAACGTGTTGCTTGCATGTAAGTAGATGCACCCGTGTCATGTAGTGCCCGAGGTGGTCAGAAGAAGACGTTATCCCCTAGAACTGGAGTTACAGACTTGTTAGCCAACATGTGGGTGCTGGGAATTGAACCGGGGGTTGGAGCCAGTGCTCTTAATCCCTGAGCCATCTCTCCAGACCCCCTTCCTTCTTTCCTTCCTCTTTTTGAGACAGGGTCTTCCTGTAGCCCCAGATGGCCTGGAACTCGCTATGTAGACCAGGCTGACCTTGACCTCACAGAGATCCACCTGCCTCTGCCTCCTAAACAGTTGTTAGCTGCCATGTGGGTGCTGGGATTCGAACCAGGGTCTTCTACAAGAACAACCAGTGTTTTTAACTGCTGAGCCATCTCTCCAGCCCCTCATGTCTTTTTTTTTTTTTTTTAAATTCACTGAGTCCAATTACTGCTGCCTATGTGGTCATTAAAAACTCATCTTTTGTTGTTGTTTTTTTTAGGATAGGATCTTGCTATGTTGCCCAGGTTGTCCTCAAACTCCTGCAGTTGCTAGACTAAAACCTGCAACCACTGCTCAGGAGGTCCCTATGAAACAGAAGAGCCCTAACTGGGTTAGGCTCATTCCCTAGAGCTACTTAGTAAAGTACCACAAACTACTGGCTTAAAAACAAGAGTTATTGTCTTATAACTCATGAGCTAAAATCTGATATCAAGGTGTTGGCTGGACTATGTCTACTCCTCAGCCTCCAGTGATGGGTCTTTCCTGAACTTTTCTGGCTTGTGGAAGCCCCAGGCATTCCTAAGCTTCTTGCAACCCAGCTCCCACCTCTACCTCTTTCTTTGTTTGGCCTTCTTCCTACTGAGTCTGTGTGTCCTGTGTGTATCTCACATGGCGGTCTCCTCCCTATATCTGTTTTCATATAAAATCATCAATCAAATCCCAGCACTCGGGAGGCAGAGGCAGGCAGATCTCTGTGAGTTCAAGACCAGCCTGTTCTACATAGTGAGTTCCAGGCCAGCTTGGGCTACAGGGAGACCCTGTCTCAAAAAGACCGAAAAAAAGGAATCATCAATCATAGTGAAGTAGGATCCTTCCTCATTGAGCATGATCTCATTTCAACTCCATTACATCTATACAGACCCTATTTCTGGATAAGCTCACCTTACAGGCACCTTGAGTCAGGACTACAAAAAGCAATCAGGGAGATCCAATTTGACCCACAACACTGGAACAACAACTGCTCTGCTAAGCCATCTTGTGTTCTGATGGCACAAGGTATGTGATTTCCTGCGTCTCTGTCCTTGGGGATGGTCAGTGTTAGAGTTTTTGCTCCTAAATGTAGCCTGAATATATCCTTTACTTTATTCCCTCTCTAGGCCAATAGGCCAGGTCTCCAAAACTCAATAGCAATGACAGTTTCCCACAGAACTGGAATGTGGTTTTGTTGTTGTTTTTTGTTAGTGTTACTATTTTTTTCTGAGACAGGGCCTCCCTGTAGCCCCAGCTGGCCTGAAACTTGCTATGTAGACCAGGCTGGCTTTGATCTCACAGAGAGCTCCCTGCCTCTGCCTACTGAGTGCTGGAATTAAAGGCATGCACCGCCACACTGGGCAGTTGTGTGGTTTTTGTCTGAGCTTCTGACCCATCTGCCTTCACCTCTTAAGTGTTGGAATTACGGGTATGCACCACCACACCAGGTTTATACAGTGCAGGAGACTGAATGGAGGACCTCATGAATGCTAGACAAGCACTTTGCCAACTAAGCTACATCCTCAGCCCCTGCTTGTTTTAAAACATGATCCTGCTATGGAGCTCTTGAACTTGTCATCCTCCTGCCCCTGCTTCCCAAGTATGGGGATTACAACTGTGCTATCTCACTCAGTTTAGAACAGGAAATTTGAAGATAGAAAATTATTCTAGGGGGCTGAAGAAATGGCTCAGTAAAGTGCTTGCATCACAAGCATGAAGACCTGATTCGGATCCCCCAGCACCCATGTAAAAAGCCAGGCATAGTGGCACAGACCTATAACCCCAGTGCTGTGGAACAGAGACAGAAGGATCTCCAAAATTCACTGGCTAGCCAGTAAAGCAAACTGGTGAGTGCCAGGGTCAACTAGAGACCCTGTCTCAAAAAATAATGTAGAAAACAATAGAGAGGACACACAGCATTGACCGCTGGCTTACCCCCCCCCGACACACACACACACACAAACACACACACACACAAACACACACACACACACAAAAAAAATGATTCTAACTATACAATACAAAATTTCTAGAGTAGACTGACTCCTAATCCCATTTTTCCTTAGATGCTAGCCCTCTGACTGGGAAAGGTGATAATCTGATGATAAATGGACATGAACAGAAGGAATGTATGCCATTTGAATAACTGTGAAGGAAATTCCCAAACACGTGGCTAATGGTAGGTATTCAGTTCGTGCTAGTCTCCCATCCCACTTCTTGTGGTGCCATCATTCTGTGGACATTAAAAAATCAAATAAAAGGAGGATGTGAAGCTGGAAGGAAGGCAGGATGGGAGTGCTGTGGGGAGGTAAAAGGAGGTAGTGGTTGATGACGGTGATCAATATACATTGTATAAATGTATGGAACTTTCAAAGAGTAAAAGATACTATTTTTAAAAACAACAAAAAATTTTGGGCAGGTCATTGAGATGGCTCAGCAGATAAAGGCACTTTTCACGAGGTCTGTCAACCTGAATTAATTCCCAAGACCCACATGATAGAGAGAACTGACTCCCATATTGTCACATGTACACACACACACACACACACACACACACACACACACACTAAATAAAATGTAATAAAAGCATTTGAGGGCTAGAGATGTAAATCCTATCCACTGGCAGAGTGCTTGCCTAGCATATATGAAGCCCTGAGTTCAGTCCCCAGTAGTGCATCAACTGGGCATGGTGGTACATGCCTGTGATCACAGCACTTGGGGAGTGGAGGCAGGAAGCTCAGACGTTCAAGGTCATCTTAGCTATATATCCAGTCTGAGGCCAGCCTGAACTACATGAGCCCTTATCCCCCCACCCCCAAGGTGGAGCTGGGGGGTAGGGAGGCTTGGGCATTGACCCTGGGTCTGACTCTAGAATGCAAGCATATCTCATTTGGTCTCTTGCAGTGATGTGTTCACTGTGATGGAGAACTGCACCAGAGTTACTCAGTTCCTCCTGCTGGGACTCACACAGATGGAAGGGCTCAAGGGTATCCTCTTTGTGCTCTTTCTGTTCATCTATTCAGTCACCCTCATGGGCAACCTGGGCATGATCACCCTGATCCACACTAACTCACAGCTCCACACACCCATGTACTTCTTCCTGAGTGTCCTCTCCTTCATAGACTCCTCCTTTACCACAGTAGACACCCCCAGGCTGCTGGAGAGCTTCCTCACCTCAGGCCAGTCCATCTCCTTTGTAGGCTGTATGGTCCAAATGGCCCTCATGACTCTCCATGGTACTGCCGAGTGCCTGCTCCTGGCCATCATGGCCTATGACCGCTTTGCTGCCATCTGCCGCCCTCTCCTCTATCACAACATTGTGTCCCAACATCTGTGTGTCCTTCTGGTGATGTTCACCTATACTGCTTCTGTTGCAAATTCTGCTTTACTGACTGGGTACATCTTCAAGCTGCCCTACTGTGGCCCCAACATCATTAACCACTACTACTGTGACATCCCCGCTGTGCTCCATCTTGCCTGTACAGACACTGCTGAGGTCGAGGCTGTTGTCTTCTCAACTTCTGCTTTGTTTATCCTCTTTACCATCACTGTGATCCTGGTCTCTTATGCCTACATCCTGGTGACCATCTACAGGATGCGTTCCCTGAAGGCCCAGAGCAAAGCATCCTCCACGTGTGCCTCCCACCTCACTGTCACCTGTCTCTATTACAGCACCATCACCTTCATGTATGCTCAGCCAAGTTCTCTCAGTTCCATGGAACAAAACAAAGTTGTGTCTGTCTTCTATACTATTGTCATCCCCATGCTGAACCCTCTGATCTATAGCCTGAGGAATAAAGATGTGAAAGCTGCTTTAAAAAGGAGATGCCTTGGCAAGGTGCCTTCATAATCAAGTGCAGAGCATTCTATCCCAAACCATAGCATGGTAGCCACACCATTAGGCATGGAAAATAATATTTAGATGGAGCAAAACATGTGCCAGCATTTTTGTAAATATGTGTATCAACTCATTTAATCCCCAACTATTAATGTATAAAATGGGTACTATTGTTATGTCTTAGGAATCTGTGGCACAGACAGACTGAGAAACTTGACCAATATCACAAAGCTTGTAAGAGCTGAACTAGAATTGAAATGTAGGCAGTCTGGCTCCAGGTACCATATTTTCAGCCAATGCTTTATACCAGCTCCTATGGGCGACTGCGCTCTCTCTGGGTGCAGGGTGCACTCACTCCCTGCGGTCCGCAGACTGCTCTGGGGAGCAGCGGCTCTGGGAGTGGCACGGGCGGATCCACAGACTTCTCCGGTGGCTGCTTTGGGTCCCGTGTCTCTGGGAGTGACAGCAGCTGGTGGCTGTTGTAACTTTTCTGGTGCTGGGAGCTCGCTCTGCTACTGGAGCATTGTCCAGCCTGAATTCCATCCCTATTACACCCGTGTACCTTTCCTCAGGATTGCGGGGTTCCTGGCCACTGAACCCCACAGGGAAGAGGCATGGAGACGGCGAAAGCTGGTGTCCGTGGGTCGGTAACAGAAGGTGCTGCCCTCCGGGGGAATCAAGTCGCCGGTACACAAGACTCAAGGCTCGGCTTAGTCTGTGCTTACAGCTGGGACCCAGTCTCTGACCCAATCTCCCACTATTAAGAGAAGGCTAGGATATTTTATACCATGGGGGTAGTGGTAAAAGCTTTGGCTGTTAGATGCTTTGTGAGACATTCTATTTACATGTGGAAGTGGATTTCTGCCACACTGCTAGACTGCTGGCCGCCTGGAAAAATCACACAGGAAGGCATGGTCTGCTTAGAGCCAGAGGCCATGTTTATGTCAGGGCATTTGTGGTGGCCACTTCAAAGGGAGAGACAGGAAAGATGCCAGAAAGCACCTTGCTATGAAAAGGAGCCCACAGCACATTCCCGAGCTGCATGAGCTGTCCGGTGTGAAGGGGCTTCGACTTTTGCATAACAGAGGTCTCCCAACAAGCTCCTATAGTGAATGTATCTCACATAGACAATGGTACTATTTTCCTTCAATTCCAGACAAATCATAAGGCAGAAGTAGAAGGAATTATCATATGGTGTGGGTGGGACCATGGGGTTTGGAGCAGGTACACCTGAGTTCACACTGAATTTGAGCTTTTAGGTTGACAAAACTCCCTGACCCTTAGTTCTTCCAACCAGAAGCCTACCAGTAACAGGTGTCTGATTATTATAAGCTTTTCAGGAAGAATTAACTTGGCGTGGTGGTGCACACCTTGAATCTCAGCACTCACAAGGCAGAGGCAGGCAAGATCTACCTGAGTACAAGGCCAGCCTGCTCTATATAGTGAGTTCCAGGCCAGCTGGGGCTACAGGGAGACCCTGTCTCAAAAAGACCAAACAAACAAAGAAGAAAAGTTTGCAAGAGGAATGAAAGGGGTGAAAGGGGCTTTCACAACCACATCTCTGAATAAAGCTTTCATAGAATCAAAGTTCTTACAGTAGTAGCAATTAAGAGCTTGACAGAATCTAGAATCACATGGGAAATGGGCCTTTGGTCATACCTGTGGGGATTATCTTAATTAGGTTAGCTACTGTAGGAAAACACATCTGAACTGTGGGTGGGACCACTTGCTGGGAAAGGGATCCTGTACTGTATAAAAGAGAAAGCAAGCTGGGCAAGCCTTGACTTCCCTGCCACGATGGACTGTACCCTTGAACTGTGAGCTGAAATAAACCCTTTCCCCTTTAACTCACTTTTGTCAGAGTATTTTATCACGGCAACAGAAAAGCAACTAAGGCAATTCTTATATATCAATGTTATACAAGAGTGAAACAGTCCATGTGCCTTTGGTATTAGGTAGCATTTCATAAGAAACGTCTTTTCCAAATCTCTTGTTGTATGCAATCTTTCTGATTTTGTCAAGTTGACATTTCTGGCATCAGATGGTTACAACTAGCAACTAATGTTTGTTATTTTCATATTACCTTTGATTTATAATTCTGATTTTAAAAAGTTTTTTAAACAAGCAGTTGTCGAAGATAGTCCAATTTTTTTTTATCTGTATGACTATTGCCTGCATGTATATAAGTGTGCCCGTGTCATGCAGTGCCAGAGGAGGTCAAAAGAGGGTGTCAGATCCCATGGAACTAGAATTAAGGACAGTTGTTTGTTGTCATGTGGGTGCTGGGAGTTGAACCCAGTTCTCCACAAGAACAGTCAGTGCTCTTAACTGCTGAGCCATCTCTCCAGCTCCAAGATAGTCCAGTTTTTAGAAAACTCACAAGGCTTTCAAGGCTGACTAGGGAAGCAGGGATGTCATCCCCAGGTTTCTGAATTGTGATGGAATAATATTTGAGAGGAGAAAAAATGTCTGGAAATAACTGAGGATCGGTATGGAGGCTCCAAGGAGGATGTAAAGATCCAAGCATCTCTTCATTCTGTCCCAACATCTTCAGTGTTGAACTTTGTCCCCACAGGTCCCTAGTGCCTCAGAATAGGGTTTGCGAAGAGGTGATTTGTCAAGATGAAGCCATTAAGGTAGTCATAAGCCAGTGTGACTGGTATCCTTTCAAGAGGAAATTTAGGCAAACACACACAGAAGAAAGGCCATAGAACACAGAGAGGAGCAGGTCCTCTGTAAACCAAGGACAGAGACCTCATATAAAAACAACCCTAGGGCCACAGAGATGACACAGCAGGTAAAGGCAGTTGCTGTGTAAACTTGACCACCTGAGTTGAACGCCTGGATCCTGTTGTTTAAGCCACCCAGTCTGAGATATTTTGTCATGGTAATCCTAGCAAACAAATGCAGCTGCTTTACTGAAGGCTGTCTCCCAATTCAACACAGCTGCTGAAACAACCAACATCCATTTGGT